CTCCGAAAAGATATTGTCGGAGAAGAAAATAGAGGAATGACTTTTACCTCATTAATAACAAAAAGTAACCCTCATAGCTACAAAGTGTGGAACTGCCTCTGGGTTGAAATTGATTCGGGTGTCGCCCGCTGATCATATCAATGTATCAAGGAAAATCCTTGAAAAAAAGAAAAATTGATTACCGTGTGGAATCTACACAGTCGCTAGTCACACTTCCGGGTTTAGAAATATTCAAGTCTGTTATTATTTCGCAAATAAAGTCCATCGGACAAAGACAAGATTTTTGGTCATTGTCTCGACGAGATATGTACTCACCGGTTTAAGAGTACATTACTGGCAATGATGGCAGCAGAATTCTAGCATTAAAGCGGCGTTGCGTTCGTTTCTTCCTCGGTGGTCTGGCTTATCCTTTAAATCCCACCTACACGCTTGGGCAGAGTGTATTACTCATGTTTACATTTACGATAATGCGGGCTCCAACACGGTGTTGACAATGCCACGAGAACAAATGAGAAAAGTTACTTGCTTGAGAAAGGGGTTAGATGACTTGCCAGTCAGGGCTGGAAATTTTTATAGTACCATTATGGGCAAGAGTACCATATAACCCCATATATTAATTATGCATTGAGACTAGTAGACTTTGTTTTTAAAGTTTGTTGTGAAAGACAAAGAAGTGGCATGCATAATCAATGTACGGCGTTCTATGGTACTCTTTCCCCATTATGCTCAAGAAAATATAACTCCTCAGCCCGGAGTGTTGCTAAATGATGAATCTCCATGATGTGTTCGAAGCGATTTCCCTTTCTTTTGGGAGTAATATCGCCCTCACTTTTAGTTCTGGAGCAAGAACACATCACGTTCAATGAACTCGACTGAAGTTCAAGCTTCCAAAGTGAAAATGTTTTTGGAGACACTGCGTGAAGGACGAGACAGTCAATTAGTTTGGTGTCCTGTACTCCTGGAGTGTTGAAGTCCGGAAATTGCTTCGCACCGATTGATTTGAGCTGGTCTGCAACTTTCTATTAAAACTGAGCGTCCTTTTTTTGTTTCTAGAAAAGGAGCTACTTAAGTTATTTGAAAAATATTTACTTCGATGGAAAACATTTTTACCCAATCGCAGCAAGGTAGACTTTATTTGGGATCAAGTTCTTTCTAACAGTGGTTTTACACCCGTGAGACGACTGAGTGAATTGAAGGAAGGAAAACGAAATACCGTTAAACAAGGCCTTGCATGAGTGTGACAGAGTCACTTAGGCTTATTTTCTACTTAA